ATACCTAGCAATACATGAACATAGCAATACCGGGTTTTCGTTCCGGGTCGGGTCGTCGGGCCGCACTGTAAAGAATAAGAGCACGTAGCGATATTTTATTGATGTCCAAATGTAGAACTACATCAGGTGTCCGAACCTAATAAAAATTCCTTTGTCAAAGGATTACTTTGAAACTTTGTGGACTAATCAAACACAGCAGAGCCCTTTTTTTTTCAATGATTGAAACGCTGAATTATTTTTATTTTCCTCTAATTTATTAAATTTTGGTCGTTGATAAAATCAAAATAATTATATAATTTTTTCTGTTGTTTTGGGGAATATTTGTTGCTAATGAATGATAAATTTATTAGGTGAGTTGCTATTCGTTACAAGCGCATCCTATCAGCTTGAAGGGCAGTATTGTTATTTTTAAATTTTTATCTTTGGGTACTACTCTAGTACTACACCTAGACTATTTTTATGATTTTTTTAAGCCTTCTTAATTGCCTGTAAGGCTACGCAGGTTACTGAAACTAGGGGTGAAATTGACCTGAGTAGGTTCGTACTTGATTCTCTGACGAGCTTGAGAGTCGGAGTTTATCAAATTTTGAATTTGAGTTCGAGTTTTTTTTTTTTCTTTTTTTTTTTTTGAGTTCGAGCCTATAATCGAGCTAGTTTACGAAATGAGCTAGAGTTCGAGCTCAGCCCAACTCATCTTGTTAGGACGTCGAGCTACTTAATTTTAAATATTTATTTAAAAAAGTTTAATATACCATTTTTTTAAGAATGTTTATCATAACAAAAATTTGAACTTCATAAAAGAGTTTGAGATCGAGCTTTTTAACCGAGCTATACTTGATTTTTATACAACTAGTCGAATTCGAACACAGTATGAGCTAAGCGAGGTCAGCTTGATAATGCCACAACTTGACTCGACTCGTTTACACGTCTAACTGAATTCAACTCTAATAGTTGGCTGGATGATGTAGCTCATGTTGACTTGTTAGTTGAGAACTTTGGTTATTAATAAAGATATTTTATGTTCGATGTTTACAACCACACATTGTCTAACCAAATCCAATTCTCTCTTGAGACGTTCGTCAAAAAATTCGATTCATGTTGATTCTTCCCCCAAGTAAGGAAGAGATCTTGGCGGAATTGCCATATATAAAATTGGGCACAATTTTGCAAAGAAATACCCCACTTGTTTCTCTAGAAGAGATGGGAAACATGCTCAATATCATTGGATTACATAGTTGTTTTAGCTCCTTGTTGTTTGAATAAACTCTCCCCCTGAATTAGTCTTTAATTCATAATGATGGTGAAAGTTAATCAGCTTAATAAACCTTCAAAAATTTTCCTACTTGATCTTCCGCCTAACCAAATCAGCCAAATCTAACCAACTCCAAAATCAACTGAATTGTCAATTTTATAATTGATACATCATCAAAAAATTATCTTGATCGGGCACGAATCTAGAGAAAAAATCAAGTTAGAAACTTCCGAAATTAAAATTTGGACCATCCGAATTTTAATTTTAGCGAACTTATAGTCGAACTGAATGTCTAGGAAATACAAACCTAACAACACCAAAATCAACTCAAGCCAAGCCCAAATGGGTCTAAATCAAGGCCCGAAGCACTGTTGGAAGGTTCGAACCAAAATTTGGATAACCAAACGTGACATGCTTATAGTCAAATCAAACGACTCGACGAAACAAATCCAACTAGCCTAAGATCATGGAATTTAGAAATAATTAAGATCTTCAAATGTCTTGCGAATGGCCCACAATCAAGGGATTCAATATTGTTCGTCCATCCAAACCACTTCACATTTTCCCTTGATCCTCTAATTAACGGGCTATGCCACTCTAGGAAATCTATAAATAGACCCCCCCCCATCTTAAAGAGGGACCCTAAAGAAACAAGACAGAGATCGAAGATTGCTCTTGCCTCCTTGCCTCCTCTACCACTGCACGGAGTTCTGTCGGACCACCACCTGAGGCTCGGACTTCTGCCGGACTACCACCTGAGGCCCGAACTTTTGTCGGACCACCACCTAAGATCCAAACTTCTGCCGAACCCCCACCCGAGGCCTGAACTTTTGTCGAACCACCACCTAAGGCCTAGACTTCTACCGGACCACCACCTAAGGCCCAGAGTTCTGTCGGACTACCATTTGAAGGTCGAAGTTCTGCCGGACCACCACCTGAGGCTCGGACTTCTATCGGATCAACACCTGAGGCCTAGAGTTCTGTTGAACTACCACCTGACACCCAGAGTTCTGTTAAACTACTGCCTGACGCCAGAGTTCAGTTAGACCACCTCATGACATCAAAGTTCTGTAAAACCACCACTAGGCTATAAACTGGCATCTGAATTTTCAAGTAATGTCGGACTTCTGCCAGTCCACCAAGTAACTTTGGACTTTCATCCCCGTTTGTCAATAGATTTCAACCATACGATTAATATTTATAATATGATTTCCCTCAGAGACGAGTCAGCCAACTGTAATGTGATGCCCCAGGCATCCATAGTGAAATGATTCGTCGACATTCTTGATCAACCATCACTTCTTGCTCCCTTGCTCTGACCTGAAATTATTAATCACATATAATGAGCTTAAATAGCTCAGTAGGTCACCAAAGCCTACAACTAAAATCAAAGCACGATATTGAAACAATATGCATGTCAGTCAATCAAATTCATAACAGTCAGTTGCATATGATCAGTGAATCTATGCAGCAGATACGAAAATCAGTAATCAATACGTGATCGATACAATCCACAATCATCGATAAAAGAATCGATAAACAGTAGGAAGAAATCCATAAAGCTCAATAAATCAGTACATACGCCAAGTCTCGGAAGAATCCATAAACAGTAGAAAAATCTATATTCGGAAAAATCTCAGTTAAATCGATCAATCAAATCGATAGAAAAAAATGTCGTCTCGATAATATCAGTTAAATCAACATCGTATCAATAGAATCAATTATCTCTAGTCAATAATATCCATCGATATGAAATCATATAAACAATCAAACCAATACATCGCAAGAATGGTTGAAATCAAATCAATACAATAAAATATACTCCATATCAGTCAATGAATCACATGATGCAGTTCAATATAGTGTATCAATGAAGCGATAGTATCAATGAATCAATAGTATCCATGTCCATAGTATCAATAAGTCAATGCAATATCGATATCCATATCGGTATCAGTATCAATGCTCAGTGACACGATGCGAATATCAATGAAATCGTACAGTAACAATAAATCCGTAAATCCACAATAAATCCATCAATATCAATAAATCAATAAATCCATAATGAGATCATAAGGACAATTATGTACACATGAAATACAATACAATAGTCTTACTGAACAAGTACAATTACTGGCTATTAAGGTGTTTTTCAAGTCGATAATCCATTGTGTTGTTGTAGAAATCCATAGTGCTGTTGTATAAATCCATAAATATATCTGTTGGCTCAATAAGAGTCATCACTCTGTGTCCGTCGGCATAATAATCTCCTTATGCCTCCCAATCGTTATATCAATGATCAATAGAGGATATCGTCAAACCCTTTTTAAAGGAAAGTCCGTCGGCCCACCATCCTGTACAGGTCAAGTCAATCTCCAACCAATGGTTCAACCAGTCTTTACTTGTCTTTCAGTAATAGTAATATATATTCAATCATATATCCACATTCATATGCATATTCAATCATTCAAATCATCAATTCAGAAAATCAGAAGTCGTACGAGAAATCGGCGGCATAATGGCAGTATACAGAATGTACAAAGAAATCACAAATTCAGAAATTTACCAAATTACCACAGATCATGGAAAACAACAATATAAGACTTTTATCGTACTGAAGCAATATTTTTTAACATCTTGATAATTTATTATTCGAGTCAAATCACATAGAATTCAAAATAACCGGTGAAAACTTTACAGAAAATACTCAAATCGTGTAAAATATCATATCAGAAACATATCAAAAGTTGTGCGGTAAAACTTTCATCAATACAAAATTATGCGCGTTATTCGGTAACGGAAACACAAAACCGAGCACAGAATTATCAAAACTCAAAATCTTCGAAATCAGAAATAGGATTCGGATTCCTTACTGCGAGACAAACAAATCTTTCAACTGCGTCGTCGGACGAAAAGCACTCCGCGGCCTCCAAAATCAAGCTTCTTCTTTCTCTTTCCTTCTCTTTCTCTCTCCTGCTTTTTCTCTCTGTTCAAAATGATCCAAAATATCTCAAATCGGATATTTATCAAGCAGGATCGTCCTGGACGATTCCCATTCGTCCCGGGACGAACTCCTCTGGACACAGATCGTACAGACGAAAATTAATTTCAATTTGTTTCGTCCCTGGACGATGCTCTCTGTTCGGTTCGTCCTGACCCTTACAGGTTCGTCCAGACGAAATTGACAGATTCTTCACAATTTTCTTCAGTTCGTCCGAAACTAAGGCCAGTTCGTCCGGACTAACAGCACTAAAAAAAAATCAGCTTTTTAAGTGTTTTACATGTAATCTACCCAAACATTAGTGGAATCATTTCAATTGGGCAAGACCCCGTAGTTTTTCCCCTTTATAGGACTTTTCACGTAAAAATCTTGTGTTCTCTGTATTTGAGATGAATATCCATACAACGTTAAGACGCAATATTATAACTCTATCGATGAGTATATTCTAGCTCTAGCCCGCAATAATAACCATTCTAAACTTACAAACATTGTTAATGAAATAAATTGCATCATGACATCCTAATGTTAAATGTAACCGAATATTCTATGAATTATGACATAAATTAATTTGCAGAAATTCTAATTTATAAATACAAAACTATTAATATCTTTTAGATATTTGATAAAATTTTAAAAATATACATAAAGCATGTCAAGATACATCATTATTAATTGTTCTTTACCTCCAATAATTAAAACTATATAAATAGCACCACACCTAAATCACAACAAAGGGAAATCAAACAACAGTCATCAGTCATGTCCATCTCGTTCCCCCTCCTCCTCCTCCTCCTTCTTTTGTCCATCCTCACCTTCTCCGACGATCCAACCACCTTAATCTACTCTACCTGCTCCAAATCCCAATACCCTCCGAACTCCCCTTACCAGCTCAACCTCAACTCACTACTCTCCTCTCTCTCCGCCGCCTCCTCTTTCTCCCTCTACTCCCAATTCACCACTTCCTCCCCTTCCATCTCCGGCCTCTTCCAATGCCACGGCGACCTCTCCCTCTCCCGCTGCTCCTCTTGCATCCACTCCGCCATCCCCCGCCTCTTCTCCCTCTGCTCCTCTTCATCCTCCGCCGCCGCCGCCGCCGCCGCCGCCGCGGCCTCTATCCAGCTTCGCGGCTGCTACCTTCGGTACGGAAACGACACATTCCTCGGTCATACGGACACTAACCTCCGATACAAGACGTGTTCGACGGGGGGGAATGGCGGCGGGGATGAGTTTCTGGCGGCAAGGGATGAGGCTTTTGCGGCGGTGGCTGCGGCGCCGGCCACGGGGAGTTCGTACAGGGTGGCGTCGGCGGGGTCGGTGCGGGCGGAGGCGCAGTGTACGGGGGATCTTAATTTGAGGGATTGCAGTGATTGCGTTTTGGCAGCGGCCACGCAGGTCAAGGTTTCATGTAGCGGAGCCGCCGCCGGAGAGGTTTATCTCGGGAAGTGTTATATCTGGTACTCCGGCGGTGGAGAGCTTCCCTACGGCGCTGGAGGCGGAGAGGTGTCCGGCGGCGGTAATAACGGTAAACAATCATGATATTCATAATCACATATTGAGCTTTTAAGATGAAAAATTAAATTGGCTAAAAATATCCATAATTAACTTATTTCATAATATAATACATTTATTTTATTTATTAGATAATTAATCCAATAAAGGTACCAAAACTTTTTAAGAAAAAAATCTTCTATTTTAAAGTTGAGAACTTTGACCTTGTCAAAAGCTATAGCTTTTAGGCAAGCTATGCTAATCAATATGATATTGATAGGCTAATTGAAGTAGTTGGCTTGAAATGTCTATCTAATCTTTTTAAAATATTTGCTTCATTTGCTTTGCTTTCTTCCATTCTAATCAAATGAGACTCCACAATGTTCCTTTCAAAGTAGTAAAGTTCTATGATTTTAATTAGTTGACTAATGATAGTTGATTGGGTTGAGTTAGCTTTAAGAAATTGATTAAAACAAGATATTAGTGATTTGCATGTGCAATTTTGCATGCTTAAGTGCATTGAGATTACATTAATATCTTCATCATTGCAAATGAAAGAGAAGATTCCTTATACTTGGTCTTCATTAGACAGCTAGCTTTGATGACCCTTTCATAAGAAAAATGAAGAAATAACACCCTAGTTTTTAATTAGAATTGCGTTTACTTTGAGACTCAATTTCTTTCTTATGACGAATTAATCAAATAATTGAGTGTGATAATTGATAACAAATAAGCAGACGTGTGATAGGAGAAATTATTTTGTGTGGAGACCAGACATGAAGAATTGTTTGGATTGCTACATATTTACTGAGTATTTACTCAGCGGATATTCAATAAATACACAGTAAATCAGTAAATACTTACAAAATACTCAACGAATACTCACAATTGAGTATTTGTTGAGTATTTACTGATTATTTGCAAATATGCAGCAAATACTATGTAAATATACAATAAATCTGAACAGTTCTCCCTATCCAGACTCCACACATAATAATTTCTCGTGTGGTAGATGTAGCTTTTACAGGTAGAGTTTAGAGTAGGCAATTATGTACGTGCTTCATTTTAATAGAATAGATACATAATTGTATGTTGTGCACTCGTTGTGCATTCTAACAAATAAAATATAGAGTCAATACATAATTACGTGCTGAGCAGATACGTATTTATGTACTCTTCTCATCGGCATGAGAGCTAAGTCTATCATTCATAACTAATCATTCCTTGTCTAACCTTATACACTCACTATGAGTCAGTTCGACTAATCTAATTTATTTTATGAATGCTATCTGTATACATAGTTTATACAATTATTTGCCATATTTATCTTAAAAATTAATCAAAAATTAATTTATGTAGGATTGCTTGGACAAACAACAAGAAGCCCAATATAAACAAAAATAAATAAAAATAAAAATTGTATAAATGATATCTTGGTTATCTTCTATACCTACTCCAATAATGCCTACAAATATGCCATAAATAAAGTTCATCAAGGCTTATTATATATTGTGTTTGGAGGCACGCACGACATTGATTGGTGGCCAACCTGCCCCTCCATTTTTTTTTTTATTTGCAACTCCAAGAACTTCCATTTTACACATGACCCCTTCTCCCATTGTAGAATAGCATCTTTATCTCCTTTGAAATGGGAAGAAAGGTATAGGGCCAATCTGCAAAAATTATGGTATTCTTATAGTTTTTAAGAAAAGTGGCAAAATATTCACTTCGCTATTTTTATTTTCACTTATGAGTGAAAAATAGTTACTTTAACTTATAAAAATATTGCGATTTAGGATCTATTTGAAATTATTGTAGTTTTTTTTCTTAAGGTGACCGTAAAATTGTTGTAAAAAATAACTATTTTGAAAGCTATTATAAAAAGTTGCTTCCAAAAATAATTTTTTTTTTAAAAATATTAAGAAAACAACAGCCAAATGGAATTATAGTTGTAATCCAAAAAAATAAAATAGAAAGAAAGTTGTCCCAACCAGATCCTTATTATTAAAACTTAAAGATTTAATTAAGGCTTCATTTGGGACGGCTTTCTTATTGCTTCTTAAAGTATCTTTCTAGTATAATAAATAAAAATATGTGTATTAAAAAGTTACTTTAAGAAGCAGTAAGAAAGCTGTCCCAAGCAAAATGTAAGTATGACAAATTATCTTGAACAAAACAAAAAATATCAATAATATAATATATATTTTTACATATGTGAGTGTTTGTTTGAGATAGCTTGAAGAAAAATGCATTAATTGCATATTATTTATCTCTTGATTCTAAACATTTTGAGTTTTTTTTTTTTTTTCTACTTGGAAGGAAGTCAATTTGAAGAAGAATTTTAATTACTATGAAGAAAGCTTAATAAATTTAAATTAATTGAATAAAATTGCGCCAGATGTCCTGATGTAAATCCTAATTTGCATCAAGAGTTACGTTTGGATGAACTTAACAATATTTAAATTTTCACTAAGATTATTGCAACCTTTAATTTCAATAAAAAAATAATAATTAAACAAAATTATGAAAAATAAAATACCTAAAAAATTGTCTCAAACAAACTCTTATTATGTAGAAAATAAAAATTATTATCAATTAAAATAATAATAATAATTTAATTTAATTTTTTTTTATTCTTCTATAGTGACAACTTTGGGAATCAATTTAATTATTCTGATTTTTTTTTAAAATTTCTTGCAGATGATGAGGTTGAGAAGACAATAGCTATCATGGTTGGAATCATTGCAGTCATAATATTCATTGCCATATGCCTTTACTATGTGAGAAAAAAGGCAAAGGGTAAGTTCTTCCATCACATCATAAAAAATCACTCATAAATAGTAATTACATTAATTATATAATAAATTTCATAATATTATATTTTAAAAATTATAAAGTTAAACATAAAATATATATTTATATATATATGAAACCATATAATAATAATTTATTATAAATTATGAAATTCATAATTTTTTTTCTCATTTTATTTTTTTACCACTCCACAGGTAAGCAGTGAATATACATAGGAAGAGCACCTTTGCTTTGCTATTGGTTTTATTCCTTTGCAGCAGGTTTCATTCAATTCTCTATTAAATTTTAGCATTTGAGTCCCCATTTTTCAAGAATTTGCAAAAGGAAAGGGGATATTAGCAATTTTTTATTTTGGGTGGGGGATTTTTATGTATAATTAGAATTGCTTTGTAATTTATTTCACATTATTAAAAAGAAGGGTGGACGAAGGTTCTTTAATGGCTTGCAATGTTTTTGTACGAGTAATTTCATAGTTGTAGTATGATGCATTAAGATTCGTGCCAATAATATGATGGAAGATTAGCTATCAGTTTTATGATAGATAAATGTGTTAAGTCCTGAGAGAGCTCATTAATTAGTAAGTACTAAGTAGAGAAAATTTCCCAAAAAAAGTAAGTAGAGAAAAAAAATATTCTGATGAAGCTATTTTGATTAAAATAAATTTTAAATAATTAGATTTATTTCAAAACAGTAAAATATATATAAATAAAAAATAAAAAATTATATTGAATGCAATTGTTAAGTAAATTTCATGGCGAATACATTCAACTAAATGATAGATTATAATTGATACGTCACCAAAAATATCTTGATCGGGCGTGAATTTCGAGACATATCAAAGTTGGAAATTTTTAAAATTAAATTTTGGATCATTCGAACTCCAATTTCAGCAAATTTAGAGTCAAACTGAATGATTCAAAGAGACGGACCCAACAACACCAAAATAAGTCCAATCCGCAAATGGGTCCAAATCAGAGGCCCGAAGCACATTTGGAAGGTTAAAAGCATAAATATGATGACCCAATGATATCCAACTATAGCATGTTTATAGTCGAATCGAACGAATCGACAAAAAGAATCCAACGAGCCCAAGATCGCTTAATTGTGACATCATTTTGAGCACGGAAATGCTTGAAAAGTATAATAAAATTTTCACAAATAATCTTGAAGTTGACCAACTATTTACCCAACTGGCATAGCCTGACTAGACAGGCACAAGCTCCTGAATCTGTTCCAATCATTTTGGCATTAACCTTGCATACTAAATGGCTCCCAATTTCTTTGACTGCCTATTTTTTATGTTGTCGCCCCATGAGCTCTCAATAAATTATTTTGTGCGAAGGCCGGATGCTGAACGTTGTCCGGAGTCCAATCAGAATGCACCACATCAGCGGTACCGAGCCGCTGTACCGAGCAAAGAGATGTCGTGACGCATTTTGGTTGGTCTCCGGACAATGTTAATCTTAGCTATCAAGCTTAATCATTAGGACTGATCGACGCACCATTGAATCCTATAGAGTATAGACCAACACCAAATAGTGCCAGCAAATACAATACCCAGGCAATGCCATAGACTGATAGACATATCAAAGCTTTGTTAGCAACTCCAAAATTATGATAGCCAACCCCTTGCGTTAGGACTGGCCAACAATAGTTGGCTATATTATAGGCTTTGGTGATTTCTGTTTCCTCTTCTGTAGCCAAACACTGCACTTCTGCTCTGCTTGCCTGTTGATCATGAACAGGTGAGGATGGGCTGCCTCACACTTGTTTTGGAGAGATTATTAGGTGCGGAGATTGGATGCATATAATTATTCGATTTTATCTTTGTATACAGTAAAAATATAATTTGTTATTCAGTATTTATCCGACTTGCCATTGAGTTTGTGCTATATTATCATAATTAATTAAATATTTGAATTGATTGGTTTCTTGATAACTCTGAATTAATGTTGTCCCCTCCGTCAGCAAACTTTCTAGATGCCTCATTGTCAATATTAGGGGTGATAGAATGGGTTAATGTATTGGATTTGAGTTTAATCCAAAATTGATATGATCCAAATTCAATCAACTCGAATTCAATATGTTAGTCAACATTAACCTGAATCTAAATCGATAGTAACCTAAATGATTCGAAGTTGACCCGTTAGCCTGTTTTGATTAATTCTTTTTTAACTTATTTCATTAAAAAAAAAGAAAGATTATACCTACAAGTTGATTACATTATATTTTATTAAGGAGAATTTAATTAATATAACTGATACGTACTCCAAAAATTATCTTGATCGGGCACGAATCTCGAGGCAAAAGCTAGTTGGAAACTTCAAAAATTAATTTTGGGAGCACCCGAACTCCGATTTCAGCGAGCTTATAGTCCAACTGAGCGTCTTGGAAATACGAACCCAACGACACCAAGATCAACCCAATCCGAGCCCAAATGAGTCCGAATCAAGGGCTCAAAGCGCTGTTGGAAGGTTCAAACCGCAATTTGAGTTACCAAACGGTCTCCGATTTTGACAATCTTATACTCGAATCAAACGGATCGACAAGACTAATCCAAAGAGCCCAAGATCGCCGAATTCCGACATCATTAAGGCCTTAAAATTCCCAACTAACGGTGCATGATCAAAGGATTCGATATCGGCCGTCCATTCAAAACACTCCCAATTCGCCTCTGATCTCAAGGCTATTTACGGGCTATGCCACTCCAGAAAAATTATAAATAGAGCCCTCATTCTACACCAAAGGGACTCAAGTGAAGAGAGAGAAGAAGAATGGAAGAAGAAGAGAAAGGGGAAAAGGAGAATCCCCTCAGCTCCTCCTCGACCACCGGCGGAGCTCTTCCTGCCGCCCGAACACGCCGGGATTCTGCGTGGTATTCGGGAAAACACATGAATTCTTTTCAACTTCCACGTGATGCTTCCCAATTTGCAACAGAGTTCCCTTCTGACGCTGAAACTCCGCCCAAGTGAAGACGGAGTTCTCCTTTGCCACCAACAGATGTCGGACTTCTGCCCAACGTCGAACCTTAACTCTTCGCCAAGTTTTCTACCCGACCCTGGACTTCTACCGGTTATTGGACTTCGATGGACTCCTACGCGAAGATGGATTTCTTTCCATTGTTGGACTTCTACGTGACGCTGTCCTTCTGATCTTTGTCGTCAGACTACAGTCCTTCTGACCTCCGTTGCCAGCCGACTACGGTCCTCTTGAATTACGTCGCACGCCGACTACAGTTTTTCCGACATCCGTCGCTCGTCGACTGCGGTCCTCCTGACTTATGTCGCCAGCCTACTACAGTCTTTCTGACCTTCGTCGCCCGCCGACTACAATCCTCCTGACTTACGTCGTCCGCTGACTACAGTCCTTCCGACCTCCGTCGCCAGCTGACTACGGTCCTCCTGACTTCCGTCGCCCGCCGACTATAGTCCTTCCAACAAAGCGAATATGTCAATAGTAACTCTTTGTATTTACATCATGTAATGTACTCTATAAGATGTACATCTAGCTAAAGCCTTCTCCCAAGGAAGAGCCTCATTTGTAATCGACTGCAAATACTAGTGGATTCGTTCAAACTGGGCTAGGCCCCGTGGTTTTTCCCCGTTTTTTCAGGGGTTTTCCACGTAAAAATCTTGGTGTCTCATAAATGCTAGACCCTTTCTCTTATCTGATTACGTGCCGGATTTTCGTACAACGCTAAGACGATAAACTTTATATTTCTCTATCGCCGCGAATACTCTTGGACGCAACAATAACTATTTAAGATATTTTCTTCTCATTTTAAATATGAAAAATATAAGAAATAATTTAAAACATCCTTAATGAAATAATTATGCAATTTAATAAGTATGTGCTAGTTCGATTTGATTGAAATTTATATCAAAATTTGGCGTGGGTTATTTCTAAATTAAGGTTAAAATTAAGCTATTGTTCTAAATATTTTAGTAAACTATTTCCTATAGGGCTAATGTAGGCTAAGGCAATTTACCGAGTTAGTTTTTATTTTTTATTTATGAAAATTAATTTAAAAGTGATATATCAATAATAATAATATCAACAATAATGATATAACATTAAAATTACATATTTGATTTTAATATTAGAATAGGAATAACAATTGTATTTTTAATTAATTATCTACTTATGTATGGTACTGTTCTTTTACATGGAGTGACTTCTAAATGTATCAATGAAAGCCAAATTTTATAAAGAAGCATGATAATAATCAAAATTAATAAAAGAAGCATCAATTATTAAAAATTTAAAAATGAGCTAATACGCTACATTAAATGGCGCTTTTTAAAATGCGTCAACTATTTTGGCGCAATAAAAAAAACGCCATAAAATTTGGCTTATTGTATTTATCCATAGAGAGAAAGGGGAGAGAGAGAGATAGGTGACAAAAAGAGATAAGATTTGACAGAGGAGAGAGAGAGAGAGGTAGGAGTGAGCGGAGAGAGTGGATGGGAGAGAGAGTAAAATAATTTTTAAATATTTAAAATAATATATTAAATTATAATTAAATATTTAAATTAGTATTTTAACATATTTTATGATATTTAGCTATTATTTTAACTGATTTTTAAATATTTATTTATTCAACTCATTATTTTATTTTATTTTTAGATATTTAATAATATTACATAAATTTTATTATTTAAATATAGTTATGCTATCATATATTTAAATATAATATTTATAATATATTTTTTTTAAATATAGAGTTTTTTTTTAATTGGTGATGTTGTCTTGAGGATGTGAGTCAATTCGACTTCTGAATTGAGTTAATAAATGATTTGTGAGCCAAGCTTGATGAGGTGAAGTCAAGATTGGGTAGGTCTTAACTTGACTAGTTCGCGAGTCGGTTAATTAAAAAATATTAATATAAAATATATTTATAATATATTAAATTAAAAAGTTCAAGTATAAAATTATTAAAAATATATTTAAATTATATCTCATTTTATATTAAGTGCTTCTTCATTATTTATGTTTTAAATTTTCAATCTTTTTTATAATTTTATTTATTATAATGATTATTTGAATAGTAGTTATTTTCTCTCATTCATTATAAATAATGTATTAAAGGATTCATGTCATGATTAATTGATAAGTTTTACACTGGCCGTCAACTACCTAACGCAACCATCCACTTTTCTCATTCATGACTTGATAATGAATGTGTTAAACAAATGTGAATGAGACATTTTGCAAACTTTTCAATGAAAATTGTGAGAATATGATTGACTTTAGTAATCTTAGCATTCTAAATGAAAATAAAGTTTTTTATTTTTATGGGTGTTCGTCCTAGAATATTCGCAACAATAAAGAAATATAAAGTTTAATGTTTTAGTTTTGTACGAAGATCAAGCACATAATCAGATGAGAGAGAGAGTGTGTGTAACATTCATAATAGACATTAATGTT